CTACACTCATTGATATGAGATAAAAGAGAAAGTACAGACCAGAAGCAATAGTTTTAAAATAGCAGCAGCAGTCACAAAAGAAATCAGAAGCTGATAATGTAGTAATACATATTACAAATATTTTCCCAAAGGATAACACAGGTAAGGCTTTTACCTTGAGTAACAGCTTCCTAACAAGGAATGCAAAAACTCTAGAGGTAATCCCTTTTAACTATTTAAAGGGTTTACAAAGAAATAAAGGGATAGCTTTTCTTTTCATTTATTGTAGTGGTATCATGCAAGATTCCCATTTATTTTTCTCTCTTCAATTAAAAAAATAATCAGAAAAGCACAAAGGAAGGGCAGGAGATGTAGCTCAGTGGTAGAATGTGTGCTTAGCATGTGCGAAGCTCTGAGTACAATCCCTAGTGTGAAAACACACACGTGCATGCACACACACAAACTGAATAAACATGCATGCAGTCTTTTCTAGGCCACAGGAAGGGCAGATACCGTTAACATTTTGCAACATTTATGTCAGAAATTTTTTAAGAAATTAGGCGTTTCAGATAAAGTGTAAGTTCTATTTGTTCTCTCTCCATTTTTTTGTTTGTTTCTGAAGGCTGATACTCTAAGGAAGTTATTGGGAGTTCTTCCAGCATGCCTTTGCAGGATTTTGTTGTATAACTACTTGTGTATTTATCATATATATTACAAGAGAATATACTGTAGAGTGTACTATTTACAGTGTTTTTTCACTTTTTGAAATCCTAACAAATGGTATCAGTGATCTGCAACTTGATTTTCTCAACCAACATTACGTTTTTAATATTCATACTGACTCAGTGCAACTACAAGTCTAGTTCATTAATTTTAAATGTTTTATAAAATGTCTTTAAATGGATAAGACAACTTCTTATTCTGTTGATGGGTACCTCCATTATTACTGTTTGCTGTTACAGACAGTGCTGGAGTGAATGTCTTTGAACTCATCTCTGAAGCACATGTATCAGTTTCACTGGGGTGATTTCCTAGAAGTAAAATTGATGAAACCATGGGATATATGATTATCAGATTTATGCAGACATTGTCAACATGTTCTCCAGGGCAGTAGTGCCATATTATACTCTTCTACACAAGTGCTGGAACTAGTTTTCTAAAACAAATACACCAAATATACTTTTTACAGTTTTGAAGGTTTTCCGTTGCAACGTTTCCCTCCCCCTCCAGTGTCCTGTATGTTCGCTCACATGTAATTCTCTTCCCTCTAACAGTCCTTCCTTTGACTTTCTTAGAAAAAATAGAGCAAATAATTTTTTTTTTTCGGAACTGGGGATCGAACTCAGGACTTTGAGCTTGCTAGGCAGGCGCTGGCACCATAGAGCAAGTATTATAACTTTATTGTTTATATTCACTCAGAATAAAGGGCACAATTTTCAGGAAAACTTGCTATGTTCAGCTATTCTTTCAGAATTAATATTTTCCTTATTCTAAATTCAATGCTCTTGCCTTCATTCTCACTACTTGGATAAAAATTTTGACCTTTTCAAAGGTGTGAAGAGGGTTGTCTAAAAACTTTGTGGACAACTTTTTTCTTTTTCTGCTTACTTTAAAGCCTTTGAAAGGCAATAAAAACAAAAAACTCTTGGCCTTGGCATTAGTTCATCTCCTTAAATTCCTTAAGATTTTTGGACCTATCAAGCATCTAATTTAAAATTTCATTTTAGTGTCACATAGATGCTAATGTAATCTTCAAGAATACCTTCTTGAACTTGAAATTGTTGCTGCTGCTCTTGAAACAGCTCCCCATTTGTGGTCACTTTTCTCCTACCTGGAAGAGCATCACCCCCTATCTGGTCATCCAGTTCCAATAAGATTTTTTAAAAATGAGTTTTTAAGTGGTAACAAAGCTAATGATGGAGAATAACAATAGGACCCACATTAATGTTTAGAGCTTTAAGTTTCTGTTTAGCACTCACATTCAGGTATCTTTTTTTTTCTTTTATTACATTAGAGGAATGAACAGAAATAGGCATCAAAATTTCTTGTCCCAGTTTTGATCTGATGAGAAATACTGACTTTAAATGTTGATTCTTAACAGCATAGACCAGAAAGAGCTGAGAACTGTCATGAACCAAATGCAAGGGCAATGTGCTTTGGCTTCCCTAAATAGCTGTGGTTAGGAGGTGCTGGTCATATTATTGTGATGTGCACCCTTGTGAAAATTTCACATGCTGTAAATATATGTTGCTACAATCTGGCATTTATAACATTTGTGAAGTTTGTATGGGAAGGGGTTGGGTGAAATAGATTTTAGAGGACGTGTTGTGGGGAGGAGCAGAGCCTGCAGGAAGGTCAGTTAAGAGATTCTTGCCACACTTCAGGTGAGAAAGGAAGTGCTTTGGGATAGGATATTAAAGGGAGAGGGAGAGATGTATGAACTTGAGAAGGGTTTAGGAGAAGATGAAGTTGAGTTTGGTGGTGGCTAGGTGAGGAGGGCTCTGTCAGAGAGGATACAGTATCAAGTGTGACTGCCTTCAACTGCAGGGATGCAGTCATGAGATCTGAGGAGGTGCATGGGATTTTTGTCACTGTTTCACATGAACATTGTAACATCAGTATAAGCTGAAGTCTGGGAGGCCCCCTCATATCATACACTGCATTGTATGCTATTTCCCAACAAATAGCCATCTACCTTTTCTTCAAGTAGCAGTTTACATCAGACAGGCAAAAATAGTGGGCTTGTTTGTAGTCACAGTATGCTTAGATAAGATTATTGCTGAAACAAAAGTGTAGCAGAAATACGTTTACTCTCATTTTCAAGATGGACTGGTTAGTGCATGGCTTTCAGGAGAGCTCACACTTGAGACAGCCCCTCTGCCTGTATCTGCTACAGCTCCACTTGCTGTTGAGGCTGCTGGCTAAAAGCATGACGGGGGATTTCTCTCGCAGTTTTCAAGATTATTCATTTCAATGATTTTCTCCATTAAGCCTTACTGAAAGTTTGTGGGGCAGGGATAGGACAGGGGCCTCCATCATCAAGATTTTTTATTCCATTAATGATGTTGTTAAGGGAAACCGAAGGTCTTTGTTCATGTCGCACTAGCTGTCAACAGCAGGCTCAGAGTTAAGATTTTGAATCTTAACTGACTTCCGAAAAAACAAAAATGTTAAAGGACACAACAGCAAAAACAACTAGTTTAATCTTCCCTAAATAAAATGTCTGTCATTAGTTTTCTCATGTAGCAGATGTGTCCGCCACATGAAATGTTTCCACTCTCTGTCATTATCCCCAACTAGGAATTTAAAGAAGTCATTAGCCTTTGCTATAATGTAATCCAGGAATCTCTTCGTTCTGCTCAGGCTAAATTGATTATCAGCTGTGATCACTCTTGTGTGTTTACAAGGTCATAACTTCTCAAATGATTGTTTTTATTAGATTAATGTTTGTTTTCTATTTGTGGGGGTTAGTGGAATGGTTGGGAGTAGAGAGGAATGAATTCAAGAAAAGTAAAAAAAATTCAGCTGCCTTACCATGACTAGTGACAGAAAAAAGAGGCTGCCACCCCTAGATCCTGAGGTCCTCCAGCAAAGGAGTATCAAATTAAATTAATATGAATGCCCCCAGCCTAGATGTAACCAGTGAGTTTCTTAGTAAGGTTTATTTTGTGTGTTTGTTTGGAAAGGAAAAGTGAGAAAACTTAATAGCAAAAGTAAGAGACATGATTTCTCAAGGTACTCTGGGGAACACTTCTTTGGCTACTAGAAGGATCCATCCCACTGCTGATTTTATTTGAAGATGTTTAGTTTGCCAGGGTAGTGGCATACACCTGTAATCCCAGCTGTGTGGGAGGCAAGGCAGGAGGATCTCAAGTTACAGGCTACCCTGGGCAACCTAACTCAAAATAAAAATAAAAGGGGCTGCAGATGTAGCCCTGGGTTCAATCTCCAATACCAGAAAAAAAGGAAAGAAAATAAGAAAATGCTTAGTTCTATCATGGCCCCTCTGATAACTTCACCCTTAAGAAACTCTTTAACGGGCCCGTGCATCTTGGAGGGTCCTAGAATTGCTTTGAGTTTGCACACCTCACCTCCTGTTCCTCTTGATCATGGGGTCCATGTTGCCATGGTGGGAAGTGGTTTCTGGAAGGGGAGCTGTTGTCCTGCTATGGGTGCCAGGCTAGGTAGTTGCTGTGCAAAAGACTTTTTTTTCTACACTTTTTGCTTGGCTTGAAATGGATTTTATTTTATAAAATGCTATAATGAAAGAAGACCTGCCTGAGTGGATCTAAGGCAATAATTGTGAGGGCAACCTCACTGAAAAAATTTAAAATCCATAGAAATGCTATTTTGTTTTTTTCCCTTTATGCGTTCCCCCCTCCCCATCCCCTCCCCCGCCCCTTCTCTAGATTGAACCCTGGGCCTGGTACATGCCCTTCTCCTAATAGTTTCAGGTCCTGAGAGCTGAAGTCCTATATCTACTCTGAGGTGTGAGTCCACCTCTTTCATCCAAACCACCTTCTCTTTTACTAGTTCTTAACAGCTCCCTAACTCTCCAATTGCCTTCTGCTAGGATCACCTAGCTTGTTGGACAGACGATGACAGCCTCCTGAAGGCCTTTGAACAGTTACATGTTGAGAGTACAGGCCTTTTGTGTGGATGTTTCAACCATGTCATGCAGCCTCTTCTTTCAGCTTGCTTTGTTTATCCAGCAGTTCATTACTTAAGACTGGCCTGTCAAAATGGGTTAAATATTCTTTGGGAAACATGGTCACATCCTTGAAATACCACAAGTATGTTTAATACAGGGAAGATTGGCTTGATAAGAAAAACGTGATCGACTTGCATCACCAAAAATATTTTTCTGTTATTCCAGTTGAGTTTCTACAAGCATCAATAAGCACTAGCAAACCTGAGGGCAATAAATTTCTGCAGCTGACACATAAAGACACCAAGGAAGGCAGGGAAAATGATTGCTGATGATTCGTTCTAACTACTTGACCTTCTGACCTCTTCTCTAGATATATGATCAAGATGGGACACTACAGCACTTTATTGATGGTGGGGAACCTAGTAAGTCGAGCTGGATGAGGTATATCCGATGTGCAAGGCACTGCGGAGAACAGAATCTAACAGTAGTTCAGTACAGGTAAAGTATATCTTGATTTACCACTTACAGAGCTGAAGCCCTTTGGCTTGCATATAGAAATTCAGGCTTGCTGCTAGTGGTTGAAAAAAATCCTGCAGACTCTGCACAGGTTGCTAGGGATGTTTTTTTGCTAGCTTCTTGAAACCTCCTTAGTTCCAAGGACAGTAATTTTATGACTCAGAAACGAAGGTGCTAGTAGGTGGCCTGTTCACTCAGTGCCCAAGCTAAGTTATCTTTGCACCATTGCTTGAACTTCCATAAAAGCCTGAACGAGTCCTGCAAGCCCACTGCTAGGGGTGGCTCCCTCAGCAGATGTGTGCACACAGACAAGCAGGATTTCAGGCCCTTTGTTTTCAGTCACTTCAGGTTATCCCCTTGGGAGGACAGTTTCATGTACACAAAGGCATGGAAAACCCCAGGACTGCGCTTCTAAAACCTACTATGCTCAGTAGCAATGACAGCCAGGGCAACCTCTCCTGCTCCCTCTAAAGGTGTCAGAGCATTTGTGTTTGGCCTTTTGATGATTCTAGTTATGTTTTAGACAATGAGGTGATTTCAAAGCAAAGAGAATTACCCCACTTTCCCAAATGGGCAAAATTCAGCCGGTGACAAAGGCAAGATGGCACCATCCCCCTATCCCAGAGTGAGTCATGTAGAGAGGCCCCCAGAGGGCTGAGAAGCAAGATGGATTCTCAGGATGCTTTAGACCATCTCCTCTTAAGTGCACCTGCTGGCCAAACGTTTCCACTTAGCGCTTAAGAAGGGTGAAGTAGAGAGAGGGCAAAACAAATCAACTAGGAAAAAAGCCCCACCATTAAGCCTTCTTTTCTTAAAATCCCTCGAAAACATGTGCCGTATAAATATATGAGCTCAGTTATAAACAGCCGTGTTCCCTTTAGAATCAGAAGCAACTGTTTAGCTTTATTAGGCAACCACAGACACATCAAAGAGAGGGCCCAGTGCTCCGCAACTTGGAGTCCTGCCTATGGCTATTTATTTTCCTTTTTTTTAATCAAGTTTTTTTTTAACTTTCTTCCCCTTATAGCTTAAAGGCTACACAAATCTGGCTTGTTCTTTAAAGGTCTCCAATTCAAAAGCAACATATTTGGGCAGTATCTGACTCATTGCCTTGGTTTCCTATGTAGTTTTAGTTCATTAAATAATGGTTTAAATGCAATAGTACAAGACAATATTTGGATACATTGCTGTATACAGGCTTTACTCACCTTCACTGTCATGATATTTTTACAAAACTCTGAGCTAGAAAACTAGTAAGAATTGTGTTTGTCCAGCCAGCAATATGTAGTGTAGCTGGTTCTGTAATGAATTTGGGACAAGAAACCCCTTTGAGGAAGGGAGGAATGAGTTAGTCATTACCTATCTGTCAATATTAAGTGGATTTTACAACTCCCCTCTCATGACAGCGCTTAAACTACGAGCTCTCTCTGCTGATCTGTTTTTGATTACTTCAGATCTTTATAAAATGAACTACAAAAACACAATTTAAAAAACTGGCATCCATCACCAGTGACTATATCCAAAAGTAAGAAAATAGAAAAGTTGGACCCTGAAGAGCCAGCCTAATTTTTATCGTACATGAATGTCCTCTTCACAGAGAGTCAGCTGGTTTAAATTCATTCTGTTATGATTTGTAATATCTAAATGGAATTTTCTTCAAAGCGCCCTTGATTGATTGACCCTTAGCTGAACGTTTTGTTTTTATTTTGAGGCTGACAATAATGTTTGTTGGCATGTGTTCTGCTTCAACTGCGTTGGGACGCCATGAAGCTATCTTTATGAGTCATCCAACCACAATACTAAATACATGTCAGCAAAGGAAATATTATCTGAAAAGGGAAAAATCCCTTTGATGTGCTTCAACATGCAGAGATTTCTGCGAGTTTTGGAAGCTCTGCCCGCTTGTAAGGCACGGTGTACACTTACACATTTTTTCCCCCTTTCGGCCTACCCCGTCCCTCAGAAGACCACCCATTGCTCAAAAACAGTTCTGCTCTTTCAGCAGCAAAGTGTCATTTGGTTTTAGCACATTCATTTGCCCAGCGCAGTGTTTATCTTAGGGGAAGCCAAACCGAGAGATGAAATGTTACAAGGGTGAAGTACAAAGTAGACTCAATTTTTCTCAAGTTAGGAGATGCCAGTGATTTATAGCTCAGCTCCAATTTTAATTTTTTTTATGTAGCAGTGGAAAGAATTAATAAAATGCACAGCCCTTAGAGATGTGGAGGGAGGAAGGGTGGTAAGGGCTGGACAACCGGCTGGAGTTTTTGTCAGATATTCATAGAATGTTGGGAAAAACATTCTGCTTAGCTAGCAGTGCCCTCGTGAGACAGAATGGCAGCAAGTAAGGAAAATAACAAGATAAATGAAATTTTTGCAGCTGCAAGTAAAATATTGAGAATCTGCACTTTTTTATTGATCTTTATGATCCTATTGCCAAGAGCCACTTTGTGGTGACAAAATATGTTGACAAGTGCATATCTCACTGCCATGAAAAATGTGGAGAAGGATTTGCCTTGTGTCTGCAGTGTTATACAAGGGACAAATTGCCCTGCTACAGCCAGTTCCTTACAGAAAGGTGAAATTTAAGGCCCACCAACCCCAAACACTTTTATCTGAAACTTGAGGCTAATATGTGAAGCAATTCTTCATTGAGAAAACCAGTTTCAGTCTCCTCTCTCTCTCTTTTTTTAATCTGTAGATTTTTCTTTATGGTGCTGAAGCTGTTCTAAAAAATGTTTATTTCTTGGTACTTTCCCTGTATCATTTCAGAGTGTAATCTTTCAGCCAGCATAAAGTGCTCCCCTTGTACTTATTGAATTTTCATCTATTTCACATAAGAGGGTTTTCTCTTCTGTATCAAACCGCAGAAAAATGGCAGTGGAGATTTTTATTCTCTTAGTCCTTGTATCACAAAGATGCTCCATTTTACTACAAATTTGGGAAGTTCCAGTGTAGTTGCCAGAATACACTTCCTGCTTTTCCTTCAAGTAAGAAATTAATAGTATTAATTTATATATGAGGTTGGCGCACCACTGTCTTTGCGGTTTGCCAAGAGAGAAAATGTTCTCATTAATGCAAGGTGGAATTTTTTTTTTTAAATGAACTCTTCCTTTCTGCTGTCTCTTGGGCCAAATATCTGTCCCTTAGGGACCCTCTATAGAGGGACACTGTAGAAATATACTATACATTGTTTATCATACAGAGTTATAGGCTCTAATTGATTGCTGGGGACAGTAAGGTAAATGTAGATTTATTATAAACGAACTGCTTAGGTGGAGCCGGGCAGAACATTTTCAGGGCAATAAAAATGAGGTGGGGGCACATGAGTCCTACATGTTACTAAGTTGGGTTTTCTTTTGTTTTGAATAGGTCGAATATATTCTACCGAGCCTGTATAGATATCCCCAGGGGCACCGAGCTTCTGGTGTGGTACAATGACAGCTATACGTCTTTCTTTGGGATCCCCTTACAATGCATTGCCCAGGATGAAAACTGTAAGAATTTATTTTAGCTCTGAATTCACATCTCAAAATACTTATTTCAAAGCTAACTTTTAAAGAATGTTTTTTCTTAAAACTTATGAAATGTGGTTCACTATGATACACCATGCAAACTTGCACACATCCATCCTGTCATTTTCCTTTCCCTGTATGTTGTTTGCTTTTTCACAGGGCATCTTAACATCAGCCAGTACTCAATTTCAGAGCCTTTTCCAGAGTTTTAAATAATCACTGAGAACAGAGTTAAGCAGCTGGTATTCACTGAGCACATACTATGTGTCTGGGTCTAAGCCTCTCACTGTTGGGGGTTATAAGAGCAATAATAAGATAACTTCTGATTTGAAGGGATGCACAGTCTTTTTGGAGGCACACTATGCAAAAATGAAATAAAGAGAAGACAGTGCTGCTCAATCAGGGGTGCCATCCCTGCAGGTGGTTGAGTGTGTTTCCTCCTAAAGAGTCATTAGCATAAGAAATGGTACTAAAAATTGTAGATAATGTGTGAAATTCATGTCTTTCTAAACTTTTCTGTCTAAACTCATGTCTAGAATCATGTAATTTTCTTCTATTTTTATTGTCATGCCAAGTATTTTCTTTGAAAGAATAATCTAACTTTTGGGCAAATATGAACTTACAGCAAGTTTTACTTAAAATTTATACTTTCGTTTTATCAGTTCTTTTGAAAATATTGCAAGGTGATTTCCAGAATTTGAAACAGAATTAGGAAATTCTGATGTGCTTTAATGAGAAACACTAGTTTCAATGGTGCTGTTTCTTGTCACTGCACTGACTAATATTGTGATAACTTGACTTTATTCAACAAAACAGAGACCATAGATCTATTTTTTTTTTTTTTTTTTGGTACCGGGGATCAAACTCGGGTCCTTGCGCCTGCAAAGCAGGCGGCGGAACCGCTGAGCTAAATCTCCAGCCCCCATAGATCTATTTTAACAGGTGGAAAACTTCACTTTGAAAAAGAGTGTTGTTTTCTTCTCCACTTACTTTTCACACACAAGTGCACACACACTAACTCCTATAAAAAAATGCTCATGTTACTACTGGTCAAAATGCTGGTGATCAGATATTTCTTTCCCATGTTGCTTTTAATTTCTTTGTAAAAAGTAAAATCCTCAAAAAGCCTACTACTATCAGCTTTCCTTTTCTATTTTACCCTAACCCCAAATTAATCTCAATTAAAAATAAGAAAAAGAAACTTTGGACATACAGTTCATTCCTCTTACTTCCTGAGTTTCCACTAGAAGGTTTCTTTTCTGCAGTGATCCTTCTGTTGGAGGGAGTGTCTGCTTTCCTAAGGAGGAAATCTCAGTGTTGGACAAGGGTGTGCGGTTGGTGTTAGAGGCAGATATTGACACGGAGACCACTGTGCTCTCCTTTGCCCAGAACAGCTCCAAGCCCCCCTCCCTTGAAACTAGATCTAGGGCCACACATGGAAAAGCACCAGTATCAGCCCCCTTGAGTGGCTGACTGGTGCTTTCTGTACCCTGGAACCTTGGCATAGCCTCGCCTTCTAAATTGTGAAGTTTAGGCAGAAGGATTCCAGAAGCCCTGTGAGGACCGCTGCTTCCTTTTGCAACACAACCTGTTACAGCCTCTGAAGATGGTGTGTGGTCTGTTGAGGAATGTCTGGGAGTAAACATATCAAGGCCCAGAGTTCAGAAGTATGTAGCTCAGACTCCAAATATTCATTTGTTTATTCATTCATTCATTCATTCATTCTTTGCTCAGGTATTTATTGAGTACCAACCTTGGGCTAGTGTCTTTGCTAGGTGCTATAAATAAATGAGGGAAGAAAAAAAAAGACAAGAATTCTGCCCTCACAGAGCTTACATTTTACCAGAAGGATAGAGATTCAAAAATGTATAAATGAATAGTTGGTAGATGTTAATGTGTTGTAGAATTAAAAAAGCAGAAAAGGAGTAAGTATAGCTAGGAGTTTGGGGTTGCAAATTCTGGGAGTGATGGGGGAGCCCCAAAGGAGAGGGGGCTTTTGGGCAAAGACTTGAGGAGGTAAAGGAACCAGCCATATGTTACTTTGGAGAAGAGTGCTGTAGACAGAGCCAGATTAAAAATGAAAGGTCCCAAGATAGGACTGTCCCTGGCATGTGAAGGAGCATCATAGAGGTTGACATGGGCACAGCAGAGTGAGTGTGAGGAACTAACCCAGGTATGGGTGGTGGCAGCAATCTGGGCAGCCCTGGAGGACTACTCTGTGTGAGCAGGCTGTAGGGCCACCGTGGAGTTTTGAGCAGTAGAGTGAATTGGTCTGAGGTTTAGCAAGATTACTGAGTGGAGACAGGCAGTGAGGGGTGTGGCAGGGATGCAGTGAGAAGCTCCCTCAGGGACCTGAGGGGAAGCCGATGGTGGTTTGGACCAGCATGGAAGTACTGGAGGTGGTAAGAAACAGTTGAATTTTGGACATCTTTGAAAATAAAGCAAACTATGTTTTCTGACCTGTGAGCTGTTGAGCAAGAGAGGTGTCAAGGATGATTTGAGGTTCTTGGCGAACTGGAAGGAAGGCATAACTGTTTACTGGGGCTGGAGACAGACATGGGAAATACAGAAGGACTGTGTAGGGATTGCCCTTGTCACCTTGACATGGGTTTCTGGAGTGAAGTCACACATTCACACACGGCTTTTGCCTCACTGTGCTGTTAAAGACTGAGAAGGATTGAGGGGTGGTATGGACCGTTTTGGGGCCTCTTTGCTGGACATAGCGATCTGACAGTGAGTGGCTAAGAATGTACCACATGATCTTCAGATCTGGGGCCACAATGCATCAGAAATATACTTTCTGGAAATAGTATATGGTTTGCTTTTCAGTCCTTTCTTGTATAGTCCCACTTGTGTGGAGTGTTCTTGAGGTTGCTGATTATAGTATTGAACAAATTCTATCAGGACAGATGTTGTATCATTTAGCACCTGAAATTCTTGAAAAATTCACAAAACCGTAGCAGCTTGAAGTGTTGTGGAGTCAGCAGGGAAACTAAACAGCTCTTTTGGGTTCAGTTCAGAGTTCTTAGTAACATTTGAGGGTACTTTAAAGGGAATTAAGTCTTTGACTAAAAGGTTCAATAGTGACAATGCCTCTTTTCCCTGAGGGTGTTATAGGAATTTTATTTCAGCTCCTGTCTCAAAGTCATATATCAGTCATGTGATTGGCCAACCAAGAAATCAGCAGAAGGCTTCATCAGATAGAGTGGTGGAAATATATGACTTTGACGCGAACTCTAAGATGGATTCTCATTCTGTATGATTTACTCAGAGAGCAGGGGGCTCCTTATTCTGCGCTGAGAAAATACTTGGTATGATTTAGAAACACCAATGCATGAGAGGGCACAGAGAGTTTATCAGATGTCCTTCCATGGCCCCAAGTAATTTAAATCATTTCACCTGAATTAGCAATTCTAAGAGAATTTTTATCTCATTCAACTAGCCACAGAATAAATTAGGTATCTTAAAAAGAAGCTCCTTGAGATCAAAAACTTATTGGCCACAATGCCTCTGCAGATCCTGCTAGTAGTGGTATGGATACAGTAAACCAGTAGTAAGTGCTCACTGGATAAATATGGAGAATTCTTGGTGCCATTACTAGAAGAGATTCATTCTTTCAGCTTGATTTTTCTGTGTTAATGAAATTGATACCTGGAGAAATATATTCAAGGAAAATCTTTACTTAGTGAATAACGCATATTAAGCACTTTATTTATAAAAATATCATTTTCTTCCCATGATTCTCTCAACATTCAGAGTACACATTTCCCAGTGAGCGTGTGCGGCAGGGTAGGCCTCAGTAAGTGCCTCCCTCCGACAGCGGCGTGTGGCAGCGGAGCGCACCAGGCACACTCACTGCCCGGACAAGCCATGAAAAGCCGCCTGCACTCAAAGGGGAGACAGTATTTCACACAGGCATTTGGGTTCTGGAAGCAATTCCTATGTTGTTTTCTTTTTAAAGAACCAATTTTAAATGTAATAGAGCTGCAAAGAGAGAGCCACTCTGTCCACTGTGGGCCTTTCAAAAGAGCCTGAAGGAACGCTTGTGTCGACAGATTGCATCCGCAAAAAGGAATGAGGTTCCCCGAAGCTTCCAGTGGGGGATTAATTCCTGCAGAGCGTAAAGACCATAGTGCATTCGTATTTGTTTCAGAGGAAATTAAAAAAAAAACCTGGGAATAAATGTTAAACAAGTCTTCCTGCTGCTTTTTCTGTCTGGGCATATGAAGCTGAGGTAGCAGAATGTGAAATTTGATGGCAGCGTGGGAGTTGCGCTGGCTTAAACCTTGCCCCAAGGAGGCCTGCCTGTTTCTTTTGATTGCAAAGAGCAGAAAATAAAAAGGGGCACCTCTGCACAGGGCCTGTCCCCCACCATCCCACCAGCAACAGGAAATTGGGCCCAGCCTGAAGAAGGCCTTTCCCCTTTGTGATCATCAGGAGGGCATTTGTGATGGCATGGAAAGACTCAAGCCCTGTCTAGAGTGTAGCAGCATGAAGGAGACACACATGTGTACACAACTTCAATATAAATCACAATGCTGGTGGCACCTGAGATGTCCACACTGAGCCTGAGCTTAGCTGGGCATGAGTGGAAGGAGCCAGAGTGTCAGCCCCCTGGGTGCAGAGGGAAGCTGGGACTGGATTCCTTACATAAGCTCAGGAATAGGAAGGTGTTTTCCTGCTCCTGAGTGGGGACTAGAAAAATGCTTCCCTCACTTAGAAACTAAGGACTGTTGGCCGGGGATTTAGCTCGGTGGTTTCACCGCCTGCTGCGCAAACTCAAGGACCAGAGTTCGATCCTGGTTAAAAAAAAAAAAAAAAAGTAAAGAAACTAAGGACTGTCCATCTCGGGCGACTGGTGAAAGTGGTCACACCAAAACTAGCTGTGGCAGTAGGATGATTTGGGGCCTGATTCTGTATTACCTTCCAGATATAGAAATGCTTGGCTAAGAAACCAATGTACAGATTTGTCTAGAGTGGAA